CTTTGTGGGCCGTAAATTGTATGTGAAGTGGCGGCAGGACGAGTCTTGGGAACGAGGGCCTGACTGTGAGCTGTATAGTCAAATGAGTAGCGGTTGTGTGGATTGATTTGAGTGCAAGGAAAAAAAAATAGTTCTCATGGTCCAGCGAGTGGCGATGACCTGTACAATCATGTATGTGGCAAAAGGGTAGCTACAGCTTAACGAAAAGTGACGATTTTAAGGCCATCAGCATGCCCAACCGAACAAAACTGAAGAGTTGAGGCTCGGAGTATATACAAAAATGGTCTTGTAAGACTCATAAAACTCGTCCTAGGCAGCATTATTCAGCTCGATCTACACTGCGATCACCAAAGGGTCACTCATGGCACCGTGGTGGGCCTAACACTCCGGAATATCAAGAACATTGTGGGGGTTTTGTAGATGTGAACAATCTGGCGGTTGAATAATGCAGGCGTGCAGTATTAGTACGCTGAACCCAGAAGGCGTTTTGTGGTTTTGAAAATATCTGGTCCATAAGTGTAACGTTTAGCACTATTGAAGACTTGGCACACCGGAGACTTCGCTCTAAAGATATTTTGGTCGGTTTTGGTCTGAAAGACGATGGTTACGGGTAAGAAATCAGGTGTACAACGCAACAAAAATCTGGACAGCGGAAGCCAAGAACTGGGTGGGAACGGTAAGAAGGAAATCAAGAGAAGTCTGGAGCGCAATGATTCTGGTCGATTTCCGCGATTAACTATGATTCACCTGATTCTAAGCTCGTGATATAGTGCCCGAAGTCCAAGAATCATCCGTTCTGTTGGACATTTCGGCTCTTCTCCAACCAATCTACTCCAAAGTTGGGGTAAAATATAACTGTATCTTTGAGATCGCCGAAGACAGAACCTAAAACTTCCAGCTAAGCCAAAAACCATTCATCGAGGCATCAGGAAATGTTGTTTTACTGTGAAAACTTGAAAACTAAGCCGGTGCTGGCAGGAGACAACTAAAATCCGTACAAATAACTCGCTTATGGTATTCTTCACCTGGATGCGTTGCACAAAGGCCGTCTCACATTCCATCTGGAGCGATATTAAGACATCGCAATACATTTTCCTGACGGAACACTTCCCATAGGGTTGCTCAAAACTCATCAACAGTTAACGGCCGATTTCGCCTTTCGCGCAGTTCCGAATATCCATAAATCTTACCTCGTATTTGAACACCAAGTCATAGGAATGCTGCGATGAACACCCGTTTCAAAATTAATTTCAGTCGCAATTTACCTGAATCTCATTTGTAATGAACGTACAGTGGATTGGCCATTTTTTATTGACATTATAGAGGCGGGCGATAAAGCATGACTTTGTTCGAGGAAATCGGTTCTCTACCTGAACTACTAAGATTACACTTTTCGTCACTTTTTATTTATGATCTCATGTGAGACATCGGTCTATTCACAACGCACTTCCGTGGAATCAGCTTGGGTTGAACCGAAACACCCTCGTTTCCATGCACTGCAAGTCCGTAGAGTGCTGCCGTACTCTCGTGATGCAAAAATGCGGGCTCAGCAAGCTGCATAAGCTGATGATTTTAGCTATAAGGTCCTATACTGAAACTAGGGGGTTCCTGGAAGGTCTCGGTACATCCGATACGTTCGTTTCGACAGCCTCATCACGCCTTAAATGATGTTAAGGGGGATATACCAGAAAATCAGGTTCCGAACATTCGGAATGTCTCGATATTCGATGATGACGATTGAGTAGATTATCTAGGGGAAACTCCGCTGTGGAGAGAATAAGCTGGATAGGCGTTGGAGGCTTCCGACTAACATACTGAGGCGTCCATACCTACTATTCACAGCCAAGAGACTAGGATAGGAAGTGTCAGAAAAGAGGTGGCTGCCACCTTCTCCCTAATTTGTTTTGCGGTGTTCCCAGTCAAGCGCCAAAAGTGATTTGTAAGATGCACAGCTAAAGATTTCTGAGAAGTACAAGCATATAACCATTGGCTATCTGATTTCGCTTAAATGAATTTTTGAGCAAAAATTCGGAAGAATCCGCAAAATTACATATGTAATTACAAAATAATAAAACGAGGACTAATTAGGTAATGAAAATGTACGCGTTCGGCTGTAACACGTTTTCGGTACCTAACTACCATGTCACCCAAAGAAAGCACGAGGGCTGGGATACTGCCAGATTGCCCAAGACTGGACGGGGGAAGCCGAGAGGCAGAGGTCGGGGTCGAACCACGGACTTTCCGGCCAGTAAATTCGCCCTCTAACCACTGAGCCATCTCGAGTCTAGCGTGATTTGAAACTTAAGAACGACCAGAAGAGCAGGAAGGAAGCAGTGACTCACACAACTGTTACATCAGAAATTCCTGTACGGAACTTAGGTGCACTCCAATGAGCTTTCTGAAACCCACAGAAACACTGTTCGGTCAGAAGCCTCTCTCAATGCTCGAAAGATATTTCAGTCGCAGAGACTGTCCTTGGTTTCCCTCTAAACCACGCTAACCAATACAGCGACCGTGTTAAACTATGGCAGATAACCAACTTTCTGGTAAGCAAAGTGCGTAACGATAAGTAGAGGGAAGAAGCCATTATAGCTGCAAAGAAACCAACATAAAGACCCTTAGAATATACTTACTTCTTCTGGGAATGCAGCTCGTCTCTGTTTCTCTCTCATTAGGACCTCGTATACTTTACGATTTTCTGCCTTGCGTGTGTCTAGAAGTGTGCAAACACGTTTTTTGATATCTTGCACATTCTCCACGGCCAGAGCTGAACTGTGTCCGAAGAAAAACTATTATCAGCTATAAGGCATACGCTCACTTGATAAAGTCAGCGGCTGCTTTTTCTCCGAGAGCGTTTTTTAAGATAAGGCGAACATGATCCATGGTCTGGAATTAGATTGGGAAATTGAAAATCGAATGACTGTAACCAGTGAACTCATGTACTCGTAAGTGTGTTTGCCTCCTTCAGGAGACTGAAGTTAAGACACACTGTGACGCTGAATCAGACGTGTTTTGGTAATAAAGAATGCGTCGGCATCTGTTCGGGAAAAACAATGTCCAGAAAGTACTGATTAAGCTCAAATACACTCATCCTTATGTTTTGAAATTCGAGCGAAACGGTAACTGAATGGACCAAGTCTGTCAGCCATTCGTCATCGTTGCACCTTGTCCAGCGGTCCTCAGTCAGCAGCTGTGATCTGCCTGCCTGTGTTTGGGGAAAGGAGACCGTCCTAGACAACTGGGAAGGGCCGGTTATAGTGCCCATTTTAAAAAAGGGCTCGTGGTGATTGTGGTAACCACAATAGGATCAGCTTAACCCCGGTTATTACAAGACTGCTGGCGTCACTGGTGCTTCGACGTCTTATGATAGCTCTTAAAGTCATCATCATCATCAAGGACAGCAACATCAGTCTTGCCACTGATGCTTCACTGCCGTACAACCATAAGTTCATGGTTGTACGTGGGCTGGGATACTGCCAGGGCGCCCATACCTAGACAGGAGGACGATTAGGGCCCTCATCCAAAGCCTTTGGCTCAAAAGCCTAACCGTAAGGCAGCGGTGTTCGGCTGGAAATGCAAGTACATTACCATTTGTTTACGAAACACGTCACCATACATGTTCCAACCCCAACCTGGAGGGCCAGGAGACTGTGTTCGTCAGAACTCTACCCATGTACCAACCTGGTATGAGAGACTCTGTGAGCATCGTGCAGACACTCCCCAGTATAGCTCAATGGGTCGCCGAGATACACAAACGGCCACATTACGGTAAGGTCCAGTCTCTTCGTGGCGGGGCTCTTAAAACACTGACTCGAGAGCAGCAAGACGGGTTCCGGTCTGGTGAAGGTTGCTTTGATCCAATCTTCTCACACCGTCAGGTGCTAGAACAACACCACACGTACAAACGATCCATAGTTTTAGTATTCTTGGATTTCCAGGCACATTCGACTCGGTTGATCAGTTTATTCTCTTGACTCACTTGCCCATCAAGGAACGCACCGGAACTTCGTGATAATATATTCTTTGTGTTCTGCCTTCCAGACGTGTGAAAGTACGTGGAGAGCTCTCCAAAAGCTTCCGTACACAACTCGGTGCCCGTCAGAGGTGTTCACTTTCTCCGTTCCTATTTAATATCACGGTCGATTAGATAAGGAGACGAACGCCGAAAGGTGATCAAACCCCAGTGTTCTGACGAGAACCTTGTCAAGCTGCAATATGCATACGACATCGTTCTTGCCTTAGGAGAGAAGGCGCAAGTGTCTTTGGATGGACTGACCAAACTCATCCTATTCTTTGGCGTGCGCCTTTCACCTACAAAATGTAAGATCATACTCGTGGATATGCAGTCACTGAACACGCCACTTACAATCCAGGGAGGCACTCAAATTTCCGGAGCGTTTTACGTACCTTCGAAGTTGTATTAGTTCTGATTGTAGTGTGACAGATAAGGTCAATGCACGAATCTGCAAGGCTCGGCTCACATATGATAATTTGAGAGACCTATGGCATCAAAGCGGTATGGCCCTGAACCTCAATGGATGTGTGTACCAGACTACAGTGTAGACTAATTGTTGTGTGGCCGTGAGACTTGGCCTGTTCAAGCAGCGGAACTGAGAAGTTTTCAGGTGCTTGGCAATCTTTGTCTCAGAACCATAGCTGGCGTGGGTTGGCGTCGAAGAATCCGTCAACAGTCAATTAAAAAACGAGTTTTCGGTTGCGCAACGGGAACTTACATTTAAGAATTTGTCCTGCGTTGGTTGGGCCGTGTATCCCGAACCGCCGTTAGCCAAGGAGAGGGGTTTTCATGCCCAATTCAGATTCACAGAAGCAGATAGGAGGCCAATCCTGGACCTGTCAGGGGAGTATAGAAGAGATTATGAGACGTCTGGATGCTGTCGGTGCCACTCGCCCCCGCCCCCAAGATGAGGGCCGCTTGATTCCCACTGCACCTGTTTGGAGACGGTGCAAAATACGGCTGCTAATCGATGGCGTGCTTGTTGTCAGTTTCAATCCAGTGAGTGACAGATGTGGCTCAAAGTGGTAATCACTGAATGTTCGCGGAGGTTCAACGATATGACACGAGGAGCTCCAAAACCTCCTACTTTGTGACTCTGTTGATCTCTTTCAAGTTGAACTTCCGTACTCGTGGCGTGGATACACCCGAATTGAGGCGTTGCTCCACATATGCAAGTTTTTCAAACGATCCGACATTTCCTCTAGAACTCGTACAATCAAGTGAGATATCAAATCTCTTTGGAAGGCACTGCCTCTGACACCCTCATCATACATTTCACTTAAGATGAGCGGATGAAAATAATGAAGTGTACCCCCGGAACACACCCAGAGTGCGCAGGATATTTTGGTTGAGTGACCGGGCACATAAGTTGAAGCGGAACTGCACGTTTACTCGCTGGAGCCATCAGTTCGTTCAGCGGTCCGCAATGGTCGTGGCACCACTCCGGACGGCCGATGACCACAAGTCAAACGACGTACGATTTTTTTAGTAAAAAAATGACGGCCGCCGACTTACTCAAAGCGACCGACCGTATTCGTCATTTATGCAAGCAACGGGTCTTACGGGACCACATTACACATATTCCAAACGCCAGATGGAGCACCTTAACGACAATTCGTAGAATACTATCCGCCTTCCGTTCAAAACCAAGGGTTTATCAACTGTTGTGATAACAGCAATGCCCCAACTTAGCTCTCGGTTCAAACCTTCCAAGGTAGTGTTCCCGCCAAAACAACCACCAAAGGTGCACAGCATGTATTGACGCTCAAAACCAGGTCAAAATCACATGTACAGAAGTAGATAAAGCGTATGCGGCGACAACGTCCCCGAAATCCCGACGCCTTCCAGATGCAGCGCCGGCAACCCGTATTCGGAGGATACTGAGTCGTGATTGGCTGTTGGATTCGCACTTTCGGCCAATAAGGGCTCCCCTCGATTCATTGCTGGCAAGCGGGTACGGGTATGCTTCTTGACTGGATAAGCGCCGAGCTTCGAGCGGTAAAGCAGTATCCATGCGGAATTCCGCCTAACATATCCCCAGGAAGCTTGTTGAGGTGGCTTCGAAGTCGGCGGTTTATTTGCTGCGGCCTCACTGGCTTGTGGATCCTGCCTGTCCACCGTTGTAGTCGTGATGGGTGTTTTGGCTGGGCCTCCGGTGGATAAGATTATGGATGTTACTCAACGGCTCCGGGATCAAAAGTGTCTGTGAATTTGTGGGCCGGAGTGTGTTTTGTGCTGAGTCCATCTGGCTGGGCAGTCTTTAATCTCGTAGATTACTTTGCTGTGCTGGTGAAGTATGTGTCCTGAAATCCACTTAGGCTTTCCGCCGCTGTAGTCAAGTACCAACACTCTCTGGCCTTCGCTGAAGGAGCACACGGTTACTCTGTGTTGCCGGATGAACTGGTTCTCAGTTCTCCTGTTGCGGTGACTCAACTGTCTCTCCTTCGGCCGGATAATGTCATGCGGTGTTCGAAGCTTTCTTTATAGCAGTGCATCCGCTGATGACGCTCAAACGATTTATGGTATGGCGCCGCTTGATACTGCAACAGACGCCTTGCCTTGCTTCCTCCCCTCTGGACTCCTGAAATGCATGCGTCACAGTACCAACGAAGCGTTTTGCCTGGGTGTGGATGAAACGGTGGCGAGCGAACCCGAGTCATGGTTTACTCCAGACGAAAGTCTGCAAAACTAGATAACGTGTACTGACTGTCTTTTTCGGATACAATAGTCTCTAGCATTTCAAGACGAACAGTCGCCAGAGCGCAGTACTGCAGTTGCAGTTGTGAGGCTGTTTACTGGAAGAGTTTCTCGTCACCAGCGGTAAGCGCCGATTACGATCAAGAAGTGCTGCCCACTCACTGGATCTGTAAAGCTGATGTGAGGACAGGACCAGGGTTTGGTCGGCTGCGGCCTCAACTGTATGAAGGTTTCTTCCTGGTCACTTGGATGCTTCACCATATTTCAGGCAAGATTTGGTGAACTGTCGAATCTAGGGGTCCATCAGAGGCCAGTAGACGTAACTCAGCACAAGGGCCTTCACCCAGTTTTGCTTTAAGGTGCCCTAGGGAGCACGCTTAAGGACGGTGGGTTGTAACTACTTTGGGGTGAGAGCGGGTTCTGTGGCCCAGAAACAATGCTTGGCGCCGGTTGAAATGAAGCTCCAATTCGTCTAGCGGCTGGTACGTGGTCGTTGACCGCAGTGGTACTTTGCGTCCTATTACAGCGTAGGGTCTTGTAAGGTAGCCTGACGAAGCGCGTTAGCGTTCACAGGGAGAACATGAGCTGCTTCCCATACTACGCGCTTCACCCTTGCTTGTGGAGAAGGCAAGGCGAAATTGCAGCCAAATCTGAGCGAAACTTCATTGGGTACGCAAGATCTCATCCCAGAGACGGGGCCGGACGAAAACTGCTCGAAGTTGTGGCTATAGGCTTGAGTGGGGGTTGCGGTCGGGATTCTGGAGAAAATAGTTGCGGGAGTGCCATCTCACTAGGTATGGCAGTATCATGTCACCATCGCATTGACATGCTTCGTTTTATGGACAGCCCCGTAATGGTCATCAAGGGTCGGAGAGGGGATACGCAGCTCCGTGGCAGCTGGTTCTGGGTGGAACGGAGATTGACACAGGGAGTCATGCAGATGAGGCTCACAAATAACTTCCCTTTCGTTGAAGGACCGTGTGAGTGTGGACCGGACTCTTGCCAGTTTAAACGAATAACAGTTTTAAGGGGCATTTGGGTGACTGCATTCGAGGTTTGAAGCTTGGGAAGAGGGGCGACGAGAAAGGAATAGAATGAAAGTAGTAGCGCGTGGCGAGTGCTTGGAGGCATAAAATACAACGGCGTCTATAGAAAAAATCTGAAAAAGGATGACAGCAAGCTACATGGACCCAGGAAAGATACGTTTGCTATCTGAAAAAGGATGACAGCAAGCTACATGGACCCAGGAAAGATGCATACGTTTGCTGATCTAGAAGCCAACTACTAGTTTGGCCAGAGTAGGTGTTTAGTTTTAGGAAGGTGAAAACTCTGTCGTCGAGGTAGCTAGCAAGGAGGCTGGCTGTTGGGATAGTTGAGAACGGACGGTATTTCTGCTTACCAAAGCGTCATGACATTGGGTCCTTTTTGTGCAGAAAGAGAGGTTAATGTGAGCAGTGGCAGTGGACAAGTAAAAAGCGGACGAGCAACAGCTTCCCAGATAATTTATAAGAATCATAGCTCAACTGAGGTCTACTGCGTCAACCTAACAGGAAAGTAAGGTTAAGGATCACCAGTCGCCGAGTCAATGCTGTCGACTCCAGAATACGAAGGGTGCATGACAAAAACAGCCATTAAGTGCCGTCTGTGACTGATTGTAATCGGAAATCATAGGTTATTAGCATTTTGTGCATATAATTACCCTAGATGACAAGAGGGAAGAACGCGTGTGCTGTGTTTGGAAGATGAAGCGGACTAGGGGTGGTGTGACCTCACTAAGACGAAAGTGGCGACACCTTACACGTCGTCGTTAGCTGCACGCCGACGTTAGCCGTAAGCCTCACAGGTACTCTCAGGCCACCCCATGCATGAATGTTTTTTTTATATATTCTTTTTTTAGAAAAAACGGGAGGACAGCTGTTGTCAGCTTGTATTTCTTGGTGTTGTGGGACAAGTGACAACCGCAACAAGGCCAATCCAGCTACAGACGAACAGCAACGCTGCTCTTTTTTGGTTTTCCTGAACTAAAGGTCAGGCTCAGAACCACCGGCGATGGGCGATAAACCCATGCTACTGGAGGGTGGGCGAGAATACGAACGCACCATAGTGCAATGTAACAGGGTGACCCTCTCTGCAGGGCGTACCCCTCCACCACACGAGGTTTTCATTCCTCGTGCATACTACCAAATCTGCAAGGTGGAAAACCATCCAAGCAGTCATAAGTGCGGTTTGTGTATTAATAAATAAGTCCAGCTACCAGATATTTCATCCGGTCGAAGGGACAACCAGGCCAGTAAAACAGCTCAGTCATTTCGAACAAGCAAACAGCCAACAGCCACCGGAAGAGGCAAGTTGCGGAAGCAAATGAAACATCAACTACCTTTTGCGCAATAGGAGTCGAATGGAGATGTTCAGAGCCTGTGTATTATGGCGGAACGAAGGCGAAGCATTGGTGTGAACCACTCTGTCAAATAGAGGTGCACAAGTGCTATGTGTATGTGTGAATGAGCGGGCTGTGGGGCCAAACAAGTATTTAATTCATAGCGCATCTTCAGACCCACCACTTGATACGTGTGCGCTGCGCGTGTTCCGGGGATGCAGAATGGTTCAGAACAGCGAGGAACTTAGGCTTCACTTTGGCTGAGGTTGGAGAAACTCCCGCCAAAGCAAAGCACCAGACATTGAATAGAGCTGATAGAGTTACTCAGGGATAGGACCAGTCTTGAAGAACTAGAAATAATTGGGCTGAGTACAAAAGCTTAAGGCCGAGTGAAAGCCAGTGGAGACGGGCATGAGAGTAGGTAAAGTGGCAGGTTATAGACAAGAACACTTGGGAGGGTGGTTGTCAAACTTGCGGACTAATGCTAAGGGTTTCAGGCCGGTAAGTGTAAGTGATAGGACCTAGTAACAGGATAGTCGGGGTGAATGCACAGATTAGAAGGGATTAGGTCCTGTTTCAAAAAAGTGTCTAGTGTAAGCTGAGGCGCGTAAAGGCGCTCAGCTTTCTCAATAGAAAGGTAAGAATCGATGGCCTTTCGAAAGCCTACGTGAGATGAGATAGTACGGTTTTTATCCCACTGGCTAGTTACTTAGACGTCACGTTGTGTTCTCAAGCTGCCTGGCATACCTCGTACATGTTTTAAAAAGACTATCGTCGCTGGACTCTATGGAATTCCCCTGGGACCATTAAATAAAATGCTTCTGCCTTATGCCCTGACGCCTTTCCATATTCACATGTGTGTTCTCCTCGGTGAACTTTTTGTTGGAAGCAAATGACTATGTGCCACACGCACAAGGGAAGAAAGCGACGCGACCCTTTAAGTTCGTGCAACTCCTTATTGGTTAACCCTTGAAAACCCTTTTCACTTTGAATGACCCATCTGGTACCTCCCAAGACAGATTATTATCTGCCTCTTTCGCTCGAACATTATCGCCCACTTTTATACTTATGCATTGCCGCCACTGAGAAACAAGCAAACGCGGGTTGGATCTCTTGTAGTCTTATGAAGGCGCTGAAAAGCAAAACGCATGGCATTTTTTGATCGTTCAAAGCGCACGGGAATCTCCGGTTTTCTCCCCCGGCTAAGCAAAGCTCAAGGGCCTACAAATCTGTTTCCTGTTGATTCTCAGCTGCCAATAGCGTCCCGTGTGGCTAAGCCAAAGAACGTGCACTATTATCCACGGTGGCTTGATCCATCCTGCCCCCCACTTCCGCTGTCCTTAGCTTTGCTGGCCACCTGAAATTATTATCCAGAAATCCGAACCCCCTCCAAACTTAGTCTGGAACCTGCCGCTACTAGTCCCGAACCGATTAGCCCACGCTAAGTTCCCTCACAACAGTATGAAGGCTGCTCCGCCGTATGGGAGACTGTTCTCGCCTCAAAATAATCATATCTACCCAGAAACAAATCTGCCGTTGACAACCACGAGAGACTTGTGGGCCGGATCTCACTTGAACGTCCGCTATGGCTGAGGTGCTTCTATTCCCACCCAAAGACCAACAAAATGGTCGACGATCTTCATATCGCACCACATGTGGGGATTCCTTTTAATTTCCAGTGATTCAGCACATTATATAATTTGGTGGACCCTCAAGAACCCGTTTCAGCCGACTGAACAGGACTAGTCAGATAATTTGACAAAAGTTCGACACCCGGGTAGCAAAAGACGGTCTGGCCGGACCGGTCTGATTTATATACCCCCAGACTCACTTGAAGAACTCATTTACGTTGTTTCTAGTGCGCCGAAAAATGTATACCCACAGTAAACTTAAGCCGCAAAATCCAAGTGATGGAAAAAGGGCCATCCGGAGGACGCTCT